TTTATGAACCTTTTCCGAAAGAAACGCCCTTTCTCGCGCAATGTGTGGCGTGAAATCCTCTCTTTTTTTTTTTTTTTTTTTTTGGCTGAGTATTAAATTTGCCTTGCATTGTACATATTGGTCAATGGTGGCGGGCAATCCCTCCACATCTCCATCCGGGGGCCAAGTCCCACTAGCAGCGTTGAGTTTCCTCAACGACTGAATCTGGACGTGTTTGTGGATATGTGTAGAAATGGCGTTGAGTTTTCTCAACTGCACATCTCCACGAACACGTCCAGATTCAGGCGTTGAGGAAACTCAACGCTGCTAGTGGGACCTCGCCCCGGAATGCTGGGGCCTTCATCATTGGCCAATATGAATGAATAATGCAAGGCAAATTTAATATTTGGCTTGTAAAAATCGGCCACGGTAACTAAAGCATCAACTACCCCCCCCCCAAAAAAAAGAAAAAAAAAAGCATCAACTATTCCAATGAAAAAAACAATCAAGAGTGGCCAGGGCCGTGGTCTCACTAGCAAAGGGGATAGGAGAGAAATCCTGAATCTGGCAATGTTGTATGCAGAGGTCACAGAAAAAAGCAGTTCTATGTCGATTTTTTCCTGCTCCTGTCCTCAAACACGTCCAGATTCAGGCATTCACTCCGATGCTCTTTGCTAATGGGACCACGGCCCAGGGGTATTTTGTTTCTCCCGTCCTCCTTTCGTTTATTTTGGTGATGAAAAAACCAAAAATGTGACTGCTTGGCCAAAAAAAAAAAAAAACCGAGAAAAAATAGTGCCTACCCGCCGTAGTTGGCCAAGGAATGTTATTTTAACTTATTGATCAAAAAATTATGAAGGAAATGCATGAAATTCATCCTCCTCCACCCCCTCCACCCCCCCCCCTTCCCCTCCCTTTGCCCCTGGGTCCAAGTCCCACTAGCAGCGTTGAGCTACCTCAACGCCTGAATCTGGACATGTTTGTGGAGACGTGCAGTTCAGGAAACTCAACACCATTTCTGCACATCTCAGCAAAAGCGTCCAGATTCAGGGGTTGAGGTAGCTCAACGCTGCTAGTGGGACTTGGCCCCTGTCTCTCTTTCTTTTTTCCCCAAAAATAACGGCTAAAAGCCTAAAATAGTAAAATTTTTGAACTTCGACTTTTTTTTTTTCCCCCCCGTTTCCGAAGGAATTCTTATTATTTTAATACGCGCCCAGTCCGCCAGGCAATACGCAACTTTTTTTTATTTTTATTTTTTGTCACACAACAAATATCAATCCAGTTCCAAAAAGGTAACCAAAAAAAAAAAAAAAAAAAAAAAAAAAAAACCCCCCCCCCCCCCCCCCCCCCCCCCCCCCCCCCCCCCCCCCCCCCCCCCCCCCCCCCCCCCCCCTCCTCCTCTCTTCACCCCTAACCCAACAGCTGCCAAATCTTCTACCTCTTCAATACATCGACAAACTAATTCAGTCAATTTCTCGACTTGTCCCTATCGTCCTTAATTTAGACCCGGGGCCATGCTAATTAAGGTTCTGAAAATTATAATAATAATAATAATATTAACAACAGTATAATTATAATATTAATAACAACAGTATAATAATAGTAATAATAATAATAATAATAATAATAACAATAATAATAATAAGAAGAAGAAGAAAAATAAAGGTTCTCTTTGTAGTTCCAAAATTATTTAACGGGAAAAAAAGAAAAACGCATATCCCTCGCGGGGGCTAGGTCCCACTTGCGCTTCCCTCTTTATTTTTTTTATTCTTCCCTTTTTTTCCCCCTTCGTTTCGTCTGAGATTTTTTTTTTTTTTTTTTTCATTTCTCGATTTATGCTTGTCATCCTTACGCAGGGGCCATGTTAATCTTCTCTGTATCGTTCCAATTTTAACGGTTGTCCCGAAGGACTTGTTTGAAACACACAAAAAAAAAAAGAAGCTTCAGGAAAAAAAAAAAAAAATCTTCAGAAATTTGTAGATTCGTTTTCGCTTTTTTCTCTTTGACACATGATTGGTCCTGCTCCTCTTCAGCTTGACCTGTGATGACTCGTTCATCAGACGGATCTCATGACATATGTGAAGGTATATATATAGATATATATATACCTCGTTTGTTGTCCTCTTCTCCCTCTCTGCCTACGGTTTACCGGGCAGTTCTATTTGACGATATATATTACCGGGCAGTTCTATTTGACGATATATATATATATCGTCAAATAGAACTGCCCGGTAAACCGTAGGCAGAGAGGGAGAAGAGGACAACAAACGAGGGGCTGTGACAAACTGTTTCGTCGGAGTTTCACCGACTATGTATATCGACGAAACAGTTTGTCACAGCCCCTCGTTTCTTGTCCTCTTCTCTCTCTCTGCCTACGGTTTACGGG